CCTATTCCGGCTGATTTTACACTCCCAGTGTGAGGAAGTAGTAGCCAATCGAGTAAAGGCGCTTCTTCTACGGTTAGGATGTGGGAAGAGCAGGGGGGTTGGGGAGGGGTGGACGAAACAGCACCGTTTTCTTTTCACTCTGTCTTGAGAGAGCGTCCATACTTCACCGTATGGTGGATCTGATGGCGCGCTCAGAGCGACAAAATCGCGAAGTATAAACGCACTATAAGACAGTTTGCTGGAGGAAGATCAGTGAGCGCTATTTCGGTGAAAGGGCGCAGGTGAACAGACGACATGCGCGATCTAGCCTTGCCGCCGACTGCCCTCCCTCTGCTTCCTAGGTTTTACACATATTTTGAATGGAACGTTCCTGCGCCGCCAAAATAGGGCGTTAAGGTCGGCCGGGATGGCAGCGGATTGTATGACAGCTATGGATTCGCTATTTGAAAGAAATCCTTTTCAGATGGAACGGTGCTCGAACAATTGGTGGAAAAATCTTTTATTTATTAACAATTTTTACGGTGTCAAAAGCACGGTAAACAAACATATCAATTGTCTCACACTTAGTTTACATTCCTAGGCGCAGTTCGGCTTGGTGGAGGCACTAACTGGTACTCAGCGAAACTGGTCTAGGCCATCTTGTCCAAGGCCCGTTAAATCCTGTAGCCAAAGTGGCGCACTCATTTTATTTTACTTCACAGGAGTTCACAGGTCTCACCAAAGTATGCAAAAGAAACTAGCGAAAATGCAAAATGCACCTCCCAAGCCGAACAGCACCACATTCCTGTTTCGAGAATAATCAGAAAGGGCTTAAAATTGTGTCATATTGAAGTGTTGTCGACTTTGCTTACGGCTTCGTCTCTCTAGAAGCGCTCTACTTCATTCCTTTGGTGGTTCTGATTTATGTGGCCAGAACTAGACTGCTACTTGCCAAGGTGAGTTCGCGCAACTGTTTTTGTTTGGCTACTTTTCTTTCAAAATATTAAAGTAGTGTCTATTGAAACAGGTCGCAGAGCGGGGCTGAAAACGAGTACTCATCAGTCAGATAGGGTCTCTATTTAGATCAGCATCAGATTGGAGAATAAGCGGGCTGATCAAACGGCCACTTCATAACTATTTCATTTTTTTCCAAAAATTTTTCGCACAAATACCGAAGTCTACAGAATCTTTCCGTCAAAGAGAAATTTCTAGACTGCTGGCGCAGGGGGATGCTGGTAGTGGTCGTCACGTCAGCTCAACTACTGTTTCTTATTTAACATATCGAGAGTGCGAAACAGTTGGCTTATTGGAAGAAGAATTGTTTTCTGATTGAAGACGGGATACCTCCCCCCTCCCCTCCTGATGGGCTCTCAAAGATCCTGTCGCCAAATGCTTTTAGTCCCTGAGCTATGCTCGTCCTCACCATTGAATTCACTTAAAGATCGTTCGCAGTCAATAATCATGATGTTGTCGATTTCCGATGGAGTTTCTAATCGCCACGCTTTGGATGGTGCTCTACCGCCGGCTCCGCTTCTCACCGTCGAACCCGTACCGTGAGCTACATTTATTTGAATTTTCTCGAGGATCGGAAGCACGTTCCCAAGCAGTTTTGAGATGTTGGTGTGACTCATTGAGAAATGGGGGGGTGGGTATAGCAGAAACATCAGTAAAGGCTCGGTTTTATACTTTGCGGCAGCGTAGCGTAGTAGCGCAGCGTAGCGTAGCGCTTCCAGCGTACGCCAGCGGCAGTGCCGAAGAGAGGATGCATATCGATCTAGCTTCACCAGCGTCACCAGCGGCACGCTAGCGTACGCCAGCGTTTCTCCAGCGTTTCACCAGCGTTTTGCTAGCGCTTGCAGCGGCAGGGGAGTAGAGACTATGGGAGAGCTGGAGGGTACAAAACATCGATTGCGCCGTCTCTCACTCGCAACTTAGTCTCTATCAATGCACATGGCGCTTACCGGTGCTGCCGACGGCCGCCATATAGTCTCTACAATGCACATTGCTTCTGCGTCTCCGACGGCCACATAGTCTCTACAATGCACATCGCTTCTGCGTCTCCGACGGCCATATGGTCTCTACAATACACGTCGATTCCGCTTCTCTCACGGCCACATAGTCTCTACTCCCTGCCGCTGCAAGCGCTAGCAAAACGCTGGTGAAACGCTGGAGAAACGCTGGCTACGCTAGCGTGCCGCTAGCGTACGCCAGCGTGCCGCTGGTGACGCTGGTGAAGCTAGATCGATATGCATCCTCTCTTCGGCACTGCCGCTGGCGTACGCTGGAAGCGCTACGCTACGCTGCCGCAAAAGTA